TGGATTTCCTTCCCATTTAGATCACCACAGAGCACTGAGTAGAGTTCCCTGTGCTCTATAGTAGGTTCTCATTAGTTATCTATTTTATACATAGTATCAGTAGTGTATATATGTCAATCCCAATCTCCCAATTCATCCCACACCCCCCTTTCCCCCTTGACACCCATATGTTTATTCTCTACGTCGGTGTCTCTATTTCTGCTTTGTAAATAAGATCGTCTATACCAATTTTTTCAGATTCCACATATATGCATTAATACATGATATTTGTTTTTCTCTTTCTGACTTACTTCACTCTGTATGACAGTCTCTAGGTCCATCCACGTCTCTACAAATGACCCAATTTCGTTCCTTTTTGTGGCTAATATTCCATTGTGTATATGTACCACATCTTCTTTATCCATTCGTCTGTCGATGGACATTTAGGTTGCTTCCATGACCTGGCTCTTGTAAGTAGTGCTGCAATGAACATTGGGGTGCATGTGTCTTTTTGAATTATGGTTTTCTCAGTGTATATGCCCAGTAGTGGTATTGCTGGGTCGTATGGTAGTTTTATTTTTAGTTTTTTAAGGAACCTCCATACTGTTCTCCACAGTGGCTGTATCAATTTACATTCCCACCAACAGTGCAGGAGGGTTCCCTTTTCTCCACACCCTCTCCAGCATTTATTGTTTGTAGATTTTCTAATGATGCCTATTCTAATCGGTGTGAGGTTATACCTTATTGTAGTTTTGACTTGCATTTCTTTAATAACTAGTGATGTTGAGCATCTTTTCATGTTCCTCTTGGCCATCTGTATGTCTTCTTTGGAGAAATGTGTGTTTAGGTCTCCTGCCCATTTTTTGATTAGGTTGTTTGTTTTTTTGATATTGAGCTGCATGAGCTGTTCGTGTATTTTGGAGATTAATCCTTTGTCAGTTTTTCGTTTGCAAATATTTTCTCCCATTCTGAGGGTTGTCTTTTCATCTCATTTATGGTTTCCTTTGCTTGCAAAAGCTTTTGAGTTTAATTAGGTTCCATTTGTTTATTTTTATTTTCATTACTCTAGGAGGTGGATCCCAAAAGATCTTGCTGTGATTTATGTCAAAGAGTGTTCTGCCTATGTTTTTCTCTAAGAGTTTTATAGTATTCTGTCTTACATTTAGGTCTCCAATTTACTTTTAAATAGACCAGCAAAAAAATGTATATACATACATAAAGCAAATATGTATGTACAGTGTGTATATAGACAAAGCAAATATACCAAAAGGTCAGCATTTGTTGAATTTAAATTGTGGGTATATGGGGTGTTCACAGTACTATTTGTTCAACTTTCCTGTATGTTAGACATTTTTCATAATAAAATGTTGACAGCAAATAAAGAAAAAAGTTTTTTTTTTTAAAGAGAAGATTCTGCCCACCAACTCTCAATTGAAAATGGAAAAATTCAACAGGCTTAAAGTACAGAAGGCGAAAATCCAGTTAGTGAAAAGGAGAAATTCGCCGTCAAGGTTGTTAAACAGTTGGGCTGCTTTCCAATTGATTCCTTCCCTCAAAGTCTTCATTACTGGGAGTTGGAAGCTAGAGTACAAGGCTCTCAATCAAGATGATTTGAGGGCCCCCCAAAGACCTGTTGACCTCTAAATATCTCCCCTGCTGGCTTCCCATGTGGCCTGAAATCCCTGTAACCTGGGTCGGTTCTTAGGAATAAAGTATTTTCTCACTATTCTGGGGCCTCCTTTTAAAATGCAAAGCTAGGAGGATGCTGGGGCCCATTAAGTGGGAACAATTGTCTTCGGAGCCAGTGCCCGCCCAGAGGCCCTCCATTCTAATAGCTCCTTTCCCAACCTCTTACCACCGCTGTGACTGGACAATACGTGCTCTAGGAAACTGAAATTGGACAATGTGTGCTCTAAGCAACTTCTTAGGTGAGGATACCATTTCAAGAAAGCTTACTTTTCGTGAATAAAATGGGGTGCATAAGGTCATTGCTGTTTTTACTTTGTCAACTGGGTGGCCTCTGAAAGCTTCTTAGAACACTTCAAAGGAAGCCTTCTCAACTCTTCCAGCCCTCCACCCCTTCCCTTTGTAACTGAATTCTTACTGACCCCGAAGCTTTTCACTGAATGAAGAGTTTCCAAGGGGTCTAAAAAATACCTGAGACAATTAGAGAAATGAAAACCAGGGGGTCAAGATGAATTGACCCTTGGCGGAGGATTTACATAAATAGGTCCTAACCTCTGGCTGTGAATAAAAGATAAATGCCCCATTAGGGTCAGAACCACAGTTCAAGGGCGTTTGCAGGGCCAAGCCTGGCTTCTCTGCTATGTCAGGAATTTCAGGAATGCCACTGATCATTGTGTGTTGGCAGAGCGCAGGGGGTTGCAGGCCGGATAACAGAAACCCAGCCCTGCCCACTGGGTGAAGCTGCAGCTCTCCCACACAGCGATCTGCAAATCGAGAGCGTGAGAAACCTGCAAGTGGAGAGAGGAGCCAGAAGTAATGCCTTCGAAAATGGAACGGATGCCTTCTCCTGAAAGGTGACTAAATTCATGTTTTGGATGGTGGTATTAACCTGTAAGATTAGAGGGGAGAAAGGGCATGTCCCCTGAGAAGAGCCAGTTCGCTCCCCTTACCTGTAGATCAGATGACCCCGTGCTAGCCTCCTGCCGCCTGAAGGGCTCCACCACGTTTCCTTCTGCTGCTACCCAATAAAGAAGTCTTACAAGGGTGTTCCAAGACAATTTTTAGAAAAAAGGTAAAATCCTGATCCTTATACAGACATAAAAATGAACATGTGTTAAAGATTTTATTTTACTCGTAATAACTGAGGGAACTAGGCACGTGTTATAACTGATTTAAAAAAGAAGCAGCCCAGATTTATAGGGAGTAAAGAATGTTGAAATGAATTACAAATGGAGGCAAACATTCCCCGCCCCCAGCCCCCCACAATGAAGGAGGTAAGTTGAACCAGGCAGGACAGAATTCACATGTCTATCCCTTCTCTACAACTTACAGAGTTATAGAATAGCTCCTGTAGGAAACAAGTGCTTTAGGCAATAAAGAGTTTTCCCCTGAAGTATGAATTTTCTCTACAAGGGCAAGAAATTTTGCTTTCTACATATTGCCTTAAGAGAAGTGTCCCCTCTATCTGCTTACCTCTAACCCCTGCCCTGTCTCCGCGCTCCCCCCCCCCCAGAAAACCGTATGTGTACTTTTTAACCAAAGACTGAGGTGGGCTTGAGAACCTTTGGCCAAAGTTGATTTCCCTCTTCCACAATTTTCTACCTTATTTTATTTCTTTGTCACATAAAAATGCATAGAATCCTGGTTGGGTTGTTCCTTGGCAAGATGAGAAGGATGACGAAGATGCTGCTTTGCCCATGTCATCTTGCTCTCTGTCACACCTCTTGCACTAAAGAGAAATCACAAGGAGAATGGGAACTTGGGATGGAGAACCCACCTGCTCTGCAGCTGTTTTGGCCAGCAGATGTCTTAATCCTGATGGCCATTTTGGGCTTATTTTGCTGAGAGTCTCCAAAGTGACCCATTGCATCATGGAGACAAAGAGCAGGGATATCTTGGATTCTACTGCTTAGAGAGTATGTCTTTTTCCCCCTGTTGCATCAAAGAGATCTGTCAAGCTTTCTAAAAGTACTAACTCTGACCTGATATCTAAAGTAACAGATGGAAATATGGGCTCTTTAGATGGAGCTCTTTCCCCAAATCTGTATCTAAGTGAAGAGGTAGAGATTCAAAACAAAACCATGTTGGAGAATTACTTCTCATTCCTGGATTTAATGTCTTATTTTTATATTGTTGCATAAGAAATTGACTCTGAAAAGCATCTGTTTTCGAATTTGGGAAATATTGTTCTAGGCTCATTTATTTAAAGACAAACAACCAAAAACACCAAACCCACTAGCCCAGGCTTTGATTGACCACCTCCTCCCCCATTTTCCTCTGGAGCAGTGATTTTCGGGCCACTGCATGAATTTCAATCTATTATCTAACGAAGAACGCCAAGGCTGGTGATACTGAGAAAGCATGAGAGAAAAAAAGATATCACAGTGACAACACACTTCTGCAGAGTTACATCCGAAAGCAAATAAGTGACCTACTTACTGTTCTGTAAAGCACAGGGCAGATTCTCACGTGGAAAAATGCCCTCAGAAGTACATGGTATGGGTAAAAGAATTTATGCAGGGCTGTCTTCACATAGGCATGCAGGTATGTGAGTGTGGGTTAGCAGACATTCCTTTCTGACTCATTACCCACTTTGCCCCTGCATTCCCCATTCCTTAGTGCTTGAGGCACTTTTTTTTTCCAGATTTCCCTAGGCTGGGACAGAGATTGATGGTATCTTGGAGCTCTCTAAAGAGAAACTGTGCCCCTTTGCACTTTCCTTTTGTGGCTAATCATTAAGACTTGCTGCCAAGCTCTGTCATATGAGCATGGCACAGCTGCCTCTGAGCTGAGAGCTCTTACCTGTCACAGGCTCTGGTACATGTAGACTCTCCTGGCAGTCTGTCAGTCGATACATATTTTTAAAAAATATTTAATTTATTTATTTGGCTGCGTCAGTTCTTAGTTGTGGCACGTGGTATTTTTGTTGCCGCATGTGGGATCTTCATTGTGGCATGTGGGATCTTTAGTTGTGGCATGCGAACTCTTAGTTGCAGCATGTGGGATCTAGTTCCCTGACCAGGGATTGAACCTAGGCTCTCTGCATTGAGAGCGTGAAGTCTTAACCACTGGACCACCATGAAAGTCCCAGTCAACACATATTTATCAACTAGACAGACAGTGAGACAGACAGTAATTTAGGGGAGAAAAACTTTTACTCTCTCCTCTTCTGTTCTATAGCTGGGACCTGCGAATAAAGTGACAAACAATAGATTCACAGGAGAAATTGATGTTAATATGTTTTTCATTCATGGGGGCTTCACAGAAAAGAAGTGAAATCCCCCAAAATTTATCAAGCTTGAGTGCTTATATACCATTTTAACAAAGGGTGATAAACTGTGACTAGGTAAAGGAAAGGGGGTTTGGGCTTTCAGGGGCAATAAAATGTAGGAAGGTGACTAGGAAATATGTGGGGGAAATTAATGGTGGACAAAGGCTATTTAACAGGTTTGCTTATGCAGACTCATCTTGGTACCTTCTCTGTCTCAGTGATGTGTTTTTGTCCTCTTCCTGGTATGGGAAAGGGGGACATGTTCACAAGGGAAACTTGTGAGAGAACTCTTCTTGTGATTGCTTTTTCTCAATTGTCTTCAGTTCAAAATAATCCTTATGCCAAAGTGGCATAATTTGGGGTGTCATATTCTGATCCCCTTCATTGAGAGGCATCAGAATGTTTTACAGGGCTTTAAAATATAATACTTGTATCACTGGAATAAGGAAGTGAACTTCCTAGCATAGCCTAGAGATCCGGAGGCCGTGATAGATGAGGCCAACTTCCCCCATTTGAGTAGAGGACTCAGAGGCCTGGGGAAGCCAAAAGCAGGGATGGGAGTCAAGGAGGAGGAGTTCCAGGAAGGGCCTGAGAAAGAGCGTCTTTGATCAAGCATTACCTGTAGGCCACAGCTGCCCCTATTGCCCCAAAGCTACATCCTGAGGCGGGATGAAGAAAGAGTCAAAGTTTAGCATCTTATATTCTGAAAAGAGACTGAGGGAGAGAAGAAGATGGAGAAAGGAGTAATGAGATGTGAACCCACTTTTGTGCCTCAAATTCCTGGGAGTTTCTCATTGGTTCCTGTGTCCTGTTGCTGTCTACCATCTGCAAAGGAAAGATGAAATCGATTGCCTTGCAGGCATAGATATAATCACCAATGAAGGGGATGCTACCCTAAAATATGCCATTTTGGCATAAAGATGATTTGAGTTGAAGGCAATTGAGAAGCAGCAGACAAAGGAAGAACTCCCCCTTTCTGCCTAAAAGTAGGGCATAAATTTCCCATGGTAAAAGTGACATAAACTTCCATTTGTAAATGTGTCCCCCTCTTCTATACAAGGAAGAGGACAAGACTCTTATCAGAGAGCAACTTGAGTCTGTATAACAGATCCTACTGAACAACCCTATCTACCATACATTTCCTAGTCACCTTCCCACAGTTTACTGCCCCTAAGAACCCAAACCCCTTTTCCTTGTCTAATCATTTCTCCACAATTTATTGCCCTTTGTTAAAAGATCTAACTGCCTTTGGGTTTCACTTTGTTTCTATGAAGCCCCTGTGCACATAAAAATATTAGCATCGATAAAGAAACATGCCTTTTCTCCCGTTAATCTGTCTTTTGTCAGTTTAATTCACAGGCCCCAAGAACAGAGTCTAAGAGGGTAGAGAAAATTTTTCCTCAGCTATACCACCATTAGTATTCCTTTGTTTGACTTTGTTTGATTGCTCAGGAAACGAGTTATTGGATTTCTTTCCCCCTGTTTCTATTAAACATATGGTTTACCATTGTGCTGGCTGAGTAGCAATTAGAGATCTCCATAGAGGCTCCTCTAACATGTTGCTTATTCTGGAAGACAGCTAGTAAGACCCTCATGACCATGTGTTTAAAGTGTGCTGCCCTGAGGGCTGCTGCTTTGTACCTTGGCAGTGTTGCCTTACTGAGTCCCAGCAGTCCAGGAAAATTCCTTGGATTCAGACTTTCCCATTATTCTGGAAAATTCATTTTTTCCTTTCTCCCACATGGGCCTGCTTAGACAGAGTGACTATAGACCACTGACTATAAAGTCATGGTCAATTAAAGAAAATGACTTCTCCATTTCATGCCTTCAGGGTTAATAACAGAGGCCCAGGGACTCCTGAGGTGTCTGAGGGAGGCAGTAGGCTAGTCTCCCAGTGAAACCAAGTAGAGAAAAGCAAAGAGAGGAATCATCAGGCGGGCTGTTGTTTGAATTTTATGTTTACAATTTAATTCTATAAATCAAATAAGGGAAATTCACACTGGTTCTGTATAGCATGTGATAAACCACAGCATTGCTACCAACAACTTTTTTCTCTCTTTATGATCAGTGGCCTCAGCAAAAGTGCATATTTTGAGTTTTGCAATACCTGACACATAAGTTGTAAAGAAGAGGAGTTTTTCACAGGTTAAAGAGATATAAGGAAAGCAGCAAGATCTTGTATCTGGAACATTTCTGAGGGGTATATGTTTATTAGAGTATCCAGTTATTCTATGACTAACTTCATTTTCTATGGTTTTTCTTAAGAAAACATTTGTGGAAGTATTCAATTATGATCACAAACTACTTCTTGTGAATTATCTGTGATGACTACATTGATTTCCCCTGAAGATTTATACAGCCAGGATGTTTGAAAGCTTGGACATCATCTCCTCTGACATAAACAATTTTCTGTGAAACCTTTCCATGTTAACTTGTAGTACCTGATTCTCAAGCCTGATATACAATTAATGTATTCTCTTCTCCCACAAAATGTGTTTGTCGCTGTTTTGCTGTTATCCTCAAAGTATACACTTTCTTCTCCTAACCGTGGGCCCCAAATCCCACACAATGAGGGCGAACCACAGAGTAGCAGAGAGAAAAGAACATTGCTTTTCTTACATGAAGACTTTTCATCCAATTCCACCTCTCTGTTCTGTGGATACTATTTGGTGTTGGGGAAATAGTAGCATTCACAATTTGGTCTTCTAGATTTAATTTATACTACTTCAATTGGTGCCTTAAAAAAAAAAGCACCTCAAAAAAGCAAAATGGGATGCCCTAAATGCTGGGTTTTCTCCGCCTTTGGTCCAAGGGGTACCCAAGGCTCAGTGTATATTCATCATCACCAAAATATTGCCTTGTAGATATCTTTGAGAGCCAGAGATGAATTTATAATGTTTTACAGGCCTGGTTTGGAGCTCTACGCCCTTTTCCTTTTTGGTAGTCAACTTGTTATATCTGTGATGAAAATAGTCACTG